GAGTCAGCAGTGTCCCCCAGGCAGCCAAGAGGCAAACCGCATCCTGGGGTGCGTCAAACACAGTATAACCAGCTGGTCAAACACTGGAACGGGTTTTATCGAGAGGTGGTTGATGCCCCAAGCCTGTCAGTGTTTAAGAGGCATTTGGACAATGCCCTTAATAACAGACTTTAACTTTTGGTCAGCCCTGAAGCGGTCAGGCAGTTGGGCCGGATGATCATCGTAGGTCCCTTCCAACTGAAATAGTCTGTTCTAGTCTATTCAAAGAAATTTCTTTCCCTGTACATGTAAATGCATATCGAGAGGTGGTTGATGCCCCAAGCCTGTCAGTGTTTAAGAGGCATTTGGACAATGCCCTTAATAACAGACTTTAACTTTTGGTCAGCCCTGAAGCGGTCAGGCAGTTGGGCCGGATGATCATCGTAGGTCCCTTCCAACTGAAATAGTCTGTTCTAGTCTATTCAAAGAAATTTCTTTCCCTGTACATGTAAATGCAGCCTAGTAATTGACACTGTCACATCTCTACTGTAACCCACATTTCTCTTAAAATACAGATTGAGAGCTTCACTCAGTCTCTTCTTTAAGGACAGCTGGGCTCTGCCACTATCATTAAGCCAACAGCCTGGCCCGAAGACTGGAAATCACACTCATTCCTCCGCTTAGTTTTCCTTAGGACAGCCAGGGATAAATCGCTGAGAAGGGCTGTCTGAAGGAACGCGCTCCCGGAAACGAATTCGCTCCGGTGTGGGGACAGCACCCCGCCGCAGTGCAATCCGATGCAATCACCCGCCCGCCAGCGAAGGCGGAGCTCGCACCGCCCGGAGGGACGGGGCTGCCCGGCAGCGCCGCGCCGCTGCCGCAACGCCCAGCCACGCAGCAGCCGGACGGGCACCGAGCTTCCGTTAAAAAAATGTATCGATACTTTCAAACGTTTTAAACTTCAGTTAAGGACGTGTAGGTAGGGAGAGCGGAAGCGAAGGCAGAGGCAATCATCACCGCTCAGCTGTCACCCGACCCACCTCTCCGAGAACGGCCCGCTGCGCGCTCGCTGTCGCGAGAAATTCGGCCTGCTGGCACGGCACGGCACGGCACGGCACGGCACGGCACGGCACGGCACGGCACGGCACGGCACGGCACGGCACGGCACGGCACGGCACGGCACGGCACGGCACGGCACGGCACGGC